CGTACGTACGTACATGTGTACAAGATTATTTACTTCTTTGTCAAAAAATTTCGTTATCATCGAATTTATGTATGTACAAAAATTCTGTATACAAAGTTTTAATTGGGTACTTTAGATTTTTTAACAATAAACATTAAATTGGTGTAATCTAGTTGATTTCCTTTTTTATAGGATGTTTAAGAATAGCTTACCTAATTTAGTATTTCTTTACATAATGATTGAAAACTTTAAAGATCACTTTTTTACTCTTTCTAACTCGTCAACTAGTTTACACCTTACTCTTATTTTAACAATATAATAATCTTCACTTCTACACTCCTTTGATTTCAGAATGTCAACCAACTATGTGTTCGATCTTTCCGATCTTGAGATAAACAGTTTAGCTAACTCTTTTATAAATGCTCTAATGGTCATTGACGAACAAAAATGTCCAGAAGTCCGGACTATTGAAAGTTTGAAACTCCACTACTACATTGATAAGTCCTATAAAGGAAATATATTACCTTATAATAAAGAGACTCAACACTTGTTACGTTTAGAAGATGATAAAATCTTATTACCTTCTCTTGCAAATGATAATGACATTGATGAACTTGTTCAAAGATTGAACAACATCTCTGTTTCTGAGAGACAAAGTTATAATGCGGGAATAACTATTCAATTGGTAATTCGATTTTTAGTGTACTCGTTACAATTTCGAAGATGTATGTCCTCTGTACCCGATGAACGTCTTCCTTCTGCTGTATTGGCCGTGTCGGATTATAGAAGTGCTTTACTGGACCTTGCAAATCCTTTTACAACTCTACCGTGTAAAGTTCTTATTACTGATTTCTTGGAAAAGACTCAAGATTTACTTAAATTACCCTTTAATCCGTATGTATTCTTTATTTATTAAACTTTTATTAAACTTTTATTATTAATTTTTATTATCTTTTTAAAAAAAAATTTATTATTAATGTTTATCATCTTTTTAAAAAAATTTTTATTAATATTTTATTAACATTTTATTAAATTTCTTTAATATACAACGATTTTAATTAATATTTAGGTACAATGATCCGACTAACGATGTAAAAGCGTAATGTATCTTAATCTATTTTCATATTTGATCATATTTGATTAAACCAATTTTTTTAACCAAATAGAATCAAATTATAGTTCTA